TTTTTGTAACTGTGTTATACGCATATGAAACTCCTGGTTTCATTGGGTATCGTATGAAACCAGGGCAGGGTATGGTTTTGGGGCCTTGTCGAATAAAGTGGCCAAAGAGGAGGTGTTTTTGAACTGGGAAAGAAGTGGGGTGTTGTGTGTGTGTTTTTAATGCGCCCATTCTCTTGAACTGATGCACGGAGGAGCGATTCTCGCAAGTGGACCAGAAAGCGGCGGCAGCTCAGGCTGAAGTCATGGTATCGTTGCTGCAGCTGGTGTTGTGAATCAGGCCGACAAAAAGCGCATCTTACTATCCGGCTATTTCACTACACCAGGGTTGCATGATACCTCTTGCCTTCCCTGCACAACCGGCACCGGAAAGGCGGCGGAGTCACGTGGTGGTCATCTCCTCTTGTTTGCCGTTGGCTCTGTTGCGGATGTGTGTTCTGAGAATAAAACTTTCCCCCTTCATATCGGGCTGTGGCTTCTTGGCTCTTCTGTGTGTGGACTGGCTCTGGGTTTGGAGAAGGAAGCAAGCAAGGATGGATGCATGGAGGAATTGCAAAAGTGAAGCTTTTCTCAGCCCTGCCTCCTCTGACTGCCATCTATCCAAACCCTTCCCCCAAATATGGGTGGGTGGATGACTTTTTCTGATCATGTAGTGTTTGGGTCTACACCCAAACTCTCCATCTGCGCTCCCTTTCCTGTCATTAGTGTAGCCCAGTGTCCTTTCCGAGGGACTCGGTGGTGGTGGAAACCACGGTGCTGCTGAGGGCTGCAAATGAAAAGAGGCTGAAGGAACCTCCCCTCTGCGTCCCCTAAGCTGAGAATTTGGAGGACCCCATACCGGAGAATCCAAGGGGCAGAACAACATCCCCAAGCACTGCCTTCTGATGCTGCCCCCCGCCCCCAGGTGGGAGCAGCACTGAATAACTCTTCGCTGCGGCCAAACTCAAAATGTAGAGCTTTCTGCCTCCACACTGAGACTCTCTGACTCTCTGGAATGGGATCAGCTAAAGAGCCAGGCCTGGAATGCGCTCTCCCTCCAGGGATCCGAGGAAGGTTGTATCAGTACTCTGCTCAGCAACATGGGAGGAAAGAGGTGTGGGTGGGAGGGTGCCTGGGGTGGAGGGCACAGCGGCCAGGCATGGCATCGCAGGGCTGGCAAGGGCCGGAGATACTGTATGCCTGGGGCAGTGGGTGAATCTGAGGTGTACAGGAGTATTTTGGCTAGAACAGCAAGATCGCGGGACTTGCATGAAAAAAAAGCAGGGGCTTAGAGGCCAAATGTATAGTGAAAATTAAGAAATAGGGTTTGGGTAGCCACTGAGACATTGCCAACCCGCCCCCCTCCCCCCCCCGAGGAAATGCATCACTAAGGAGAAAAGAGGACACCAGTTTGCATAACATTTGCACATGCAATTTTACTTATGGGTGCAAATGGAGGAAGAACAACTACAAGTAGAAATGCAGGGCAAGTTTAGTGTTGTGGAGAGGATGGATTGGCTGCGCCTCCAGTCCAAGTGCCTGCTAATGATGGGCAGCCCCACGGCCCCCGCTGCTCTTCCTCCTTTTGGTTCTTTGACTTTAAACCAGCCCAATAAGCATGCCAGCAAATAGGATTCACCACTGCACCCTGCTAGCTCTCCAAAGCAGAGGACTGTCAAGGGGCCACCCGGCCACCCCCAGCACTGAGCTGGCAGTTCTGCTCCTCAGAGATGCGCTGCCACGCATCCCTCGTTTCTGCGGCCTAAATGGAGGCCGAGGAGTCGTCTCCGTTTGTCTCTAAGGGCGGCCACTTGGGCATTTTGCCCCTTGCAGATCTGTGGCGATCCACCCAGTGGCTTGCTGGACAGCCCAATTTACCTTCCGCCCGCCTGTTCCAGACAGGCAGTTGTTGGTCAGGGAGGAGAGTCTGGCTGAGTAGCTCAACTTATTCTAAAGCGAGGATGGGAAGGAAGGAAGGAAGGAACGGCACAGTTAGCAGAGGTGGTGTTTGTTGAGCAAGCTTCCCAGTGCGACACTGCAGAACTGGGTCACCAGCCCACCCAGCACGATGGTTGAAGTAGACCCTAGTTTAAAAAGACGGAGCAATTGGTCACACAGAGGCCCCTCAGAGAGTGAGCGGGAAACGGGTGTGTTTCCTCATTAACTGGCCGAAATGAACAGCACTGTTGAATTCCAAATAGCTTTTCCAGATTGTTATCTGTCCCTACTTTTAAATGGTCATGTGAGAGCTTAGTGTCCAGCCTCCCAGGAGCACAGGCGGTGGTGAACCTGCTCTCCCCACTTAGGGGGCAGCTTTGCCTAGCTAGGCGTGCATGTCATCATAAGATCCTAGGCCAGCCTGCCTGCTCTGGAAGAAGTGTTTCAACTCCTGCCCTCGTGTTTCTACAAGCGATTGGACAATGGACATTTGTTGCGTGTACTAAAGTACATCTCCCCGTTGCTCCACTTATTCCTGCAGGCTTTCTCTTGCGTGCAACGAACGGCGATTAATCCATTTCAGTGTTTCCTGTATTGTTTTGTACTGGCACTATAGATGGAAATGCTTTTGAGGGAGTTTAAATGTGATGATTAATATTTATATGCAAACTGCTTGGCGATTGTATTACATTAAACAGGATCTAAGTACTACTAATGAAGAAACATGGTAAATACTGTAACATTCAAGAGATTCCACACTTTTCTTAGCCAATGATGACTGAATCTGACTTTGATATGCTTCCTTTGGTCCATCCAGGGACAAGGAATTAAGTCCACCATTGTTTCATCTACGGTGTGGAATATCAAATGAGATCCATTAATTAACAACTTGCTGTGAATCTTAAACATGTTTTAACTATGGTTCTAAATTGCATCCTGCACATGCAAATTTGGCATGTGGTGGTCCATTCCTCCTAGCAAGGAGCAGAAATGCAAAATCCAGATCAGGACAAATAATTCTTGCATTCCATTACTGTATCCCTTTCTGGGCATTTTGTTGATGAGCATAACAGGATGGGGTGCATCTCACCCCACAATCTCCTCTTCCTCTTGTCTACAGTTGTGGACTTCAGTTAAAATCAGTCAGAGGAACGCTTCTGTGTGCTGCTGTTTCCAACATGGAAATACTCTCTTTTGTACCTATTGAATCCCACTCAGATCATAAGAACAGCTGTACTGGATCAGAAGAAAAGTCTACTTTCAGGGGCTTTGGGAGGGACCTGGGCCTATTGGACACAAATCTGCATAGTGCTTGCAAATGCCGCTTTCACTCTGCATTTGCAAATATAGAAAGCTGTGCTAGGATTCATTTAAATTTCATACGGAGCAAAGCCCGCCCAATCATTCCATGCCGGAATTCGGACCTGGGTAAGAGTGTTCCTGAAGAGCTACCTCTCTTCAACTTGAAGACTTCCTCTCACGCCCCTAACCCTGTCCAAGAAACCAAGGAGAGCCCAGAGAAGTCGGCAAATCTTCGTGGGCCCCACGTTGTGCAGTGCGATCCTTCCAGCAGCGCAGGCAACGTTTGCAAGCACGTGTGCCGAAGAGAGTCGCCGCCCGCAAGGAGGCTCCGTTCCAGGCCAGCTTCACCCAAATACTGGGTGCCCTCGCCAGGAAGTTGGACTCATGGCCCCAGAAAGCGGGCCTGAACCCGAGGAGCCGAGCCCGAGGTTTCTCACCCCTGAAAAGGATTCCTCACACACCCCACTAGATCATCCCAGATCACAGGACGGGTTTTCCTAAGCTTGAACGGCCATGCCAGCGAAGATTGGGCGAGTGCAGATGTAGAGAGAGAGAGAGTCCACCCTTCCCTCCCCATGGGAGCTTCTCCCACTAGGAAACTGCCCATGGCGGGGCGATTCAGCAGACAAGAACGCTTCCACCGCGGCCAGCGTGCGCACACACACACACCCACCCACACACACACCCGTGTCTAGCAAGGCGTCTGCCGAACTTCCCAGCATCCTGTCCCGCATGGACCCAGCCTGCGGTCTTCATGCACATGAGCATGGTAACCATCTTCCACAGAGGTTCCCGAGCAGCGCAGATGACAAGCGGGTCCGCCCCGCCGTAGCTCTTGCGAGACCGGCCCCCCACGCGTGTGGCTCTTGGGAGCTCCTGGACGGCAGTGAGGGCCATACAATGAAATAAGCCTGTCAGGCGTTTAATTAGGAAAGCAACATAGGATGCGATTTAAGGTGCGACCTAATGCATGTCGAGGCAGAAAAAGCGTTGCTGGAAAGGGAAGGGCATTGGCCGTGTCCTGGGGTCTACGGGATTTTTATCTAAATGTACCCTACATTTCCCAGCATATCATTTATGTATGTATTTATTCAAAGCATTTATTTATTTACTTCAAGTATTTAAAGGAATGAGATGAGCTTTAGGGTCCTATATTTCTTCAACACTGAAGAAATTACTTGGATTTTATAAAATGTATTTTATATGTCTGAATCTCTGAAGAAGTAAAATAAGGATGCAGTTCTGTGTGGGTTTAGCCGGAATAAAAGCCGGCACCTTCCTGTGCGGCCCACCTGGGCTGAGCCCGGGGACGGAGACGAGGTTTAGGAAGACGAGTCTAATCAACTGGGTACTTCAGCAAGGCAGAGTGCAGTTTGTCTCCTTCATGGCGAGGGCGTGAGGACTATTTCCATCTTGCCTAACCCCGAATGCAACGGAAACGGAATGTACCCAGATGGGACGCATCGGCGGCCGAGTCCCCACGTCGGACTCCTGGAAACGCTGCCCTTCCCGCTGATGTGTCCTTGGGACTTAATACCAAACCTGTTATCCTCCCTTCATCTAGGACTGAGTGGCCAAGCCTCGCACACTCATTCCTCCAGGCTATTCTTTTCAGCAACCAGCTCGGGATGGTTCAAGCCAATTAGTGGCCACTCTCAGGAGTCGGTTTTTGCTGGTTTCGTGGGGTATAAAGTTTCCACACGTCCTGCAGGTTGCCTGCAGTTTGGGTGGCAGGCCCTGCGATCTGCACCAGAGGCGTCGGGAGAGCTGGCGGAGACGATGCCATGGCGGAATTGCAGGGGGCCGAACGTGCCCTCGACCCGGCCTGCTCCAACGGCAGGTTCACCATCAGCACACTGATCAGCCCTCCAGACAACGGGGGCAGTCACTACGGCCAGGCGGAAGCCGCAACGTACGACACCGCGCAGGCCAGCTACCTGACCCGCAACAGCACTTTCTACATGCGGACCTTTGGCTACAACACCGTCGACGTGGTGCCCACCTATGAGAACTACGCCAACACGAAGCTCCGTGGTGAAGCGAGGGAGGCGCGACCGACCCTTGCCGACCTGCACTCCTTCCTCAAGGTAGGCGGAAGCCGCACCCTCTCCCCAGGCACGGCCACCAGAGCGCGTGATGCCCTGGAGGGTTGGGCTTGGCAGTGCTAAGGAGCAGCGGGCATCTATGTCAGCTCAGTTTTGATAGGACGCTACCAAAATCTGTGCATTTCTTCAGATCCAAGAAGGGAAGAACTTGCAATTTTAAAAATGGGGATGGGGGAGAAACTCACCTTGTCAGTTGCGTCCATCCAGGCTCAGTTAGTAGGGTGCTTAGTTCTTCAAAGCTTGGACATGCACATGGTAGGAATGTCATGAATGGAGCCGGCTGGCGCCAGGGGTCAGACTAGATGGCCCAGGAGGCCCCTTCTTTGTTTTGAATCCTTGTGCATACAGGTATATCTGTGCTGAATTTGGGTTGCCCCCCTTCTCCTTTTTTACAGGCTTCTCATCTTTAATAACTGCTTGACAGGTAGCTAGGTAAAGGGCCCCTCCATGCTGGGAACCGTGTCACTACTGCATTTGGTCAGACGGAGATGGGTGCACAGTTTCAGTTCAGTTTTGAGGAGAATTTACTAGCATTTCCAAATTCCTTCATATTGCGATAGAGAGTGAGGTTTAAAATTCACATGTGGAGAAAAGTAAAACTGACAGATCCCTGCTGAATTTTCCTATAAATGCTGCTGCACATGAAGTCAGGAGAAAAAGTGGCGACGCTTCCCCAGATTCTGTATCAGCAACGGAAAAATGGCGTGCAGTTGGTGCCCTTTTGCTGATTCCCCCGTGTTGCTTGCGGAAGCAGCCCAACAGTCCTCTAGCCTGGGGTGCCTTTTCTCTTGGACTTCTGAATGCAGCACCTCTGCATTCCCTCTTCAATCTTGTTCCACAAGTGCTAAATGCAAGTGGGGAAGCGGAGTGGAAACGGCCGGATTTGTGCGTGCAAAATCAGAACCGAGCCTCCAGTGCCCAGAGTGTAGGCACAGCTTTGCAAGTTATCCATCTTATCATTGATCCATGCCAAGGCCCCCGTGTCCTGGCTTGGTGGGAGCAGGTGCTGGTTGAAGGGGCTCTCGGAAAGGCAAGGCCACAACACAGGAAATGCACAAGCAAAGCGCCTTCAGTCCAGGGAGGGCTGGGCAAAGGCAGGAGTGCTTAAGGTGGTCCGTGTGTGTATGTGGGCGGCAGCTTCTGGAAGCAACGTGTGAGCGGCTGGCGGGGTAGAGCTAATGCTCCCCTCTTGCAGTGCAGTGGTCCCGTGTGTGCTTACATGAGAGTAAACAAGCAAGCAAACCAGCCTCTGCTTTATGCCAACACTTTATGATGGGCTTAAAATGTTGTCTGGCTCTTCAAATGAGTGTGTTCAAAGGCAGGGATGCAAATTCCTCCCATCCATGTTTTGGGAGCTTCAGGAGTCTTTTGATCCAACACCACTGGGATAAATGGCTCTTCACCTGATGCCTAAAAAAATGTAGAGAAGTTGCCAGGTGGACCTTTCCAGAGAGCTCGTTCCAGGTCGGGAAAGAGGCCCGTCTTTGTGTTGCCCCCTCAATTTCTGAGGAGGGGGCTTCCTCAGAAGGCCTTAGAAGCAGATCTCAGGTGCCGGGTAGGTTCATATGGGAGGAGGCGCGTAGGGCCGTTTAGGGCCTTAAACACGAGCGAGCATTGAACCTTGAATTGGGCCCGCACCTCAGCTGGGAGCCCGGCCAGCCGCACTCTCTTTGTGAATGAGTCGCCGCCGCCGCCGCTCGGTGCCCACGGCCTGTGGACAGGACCCCCACGGGGCCATGATGCTCCTGCTCCAGGCAAAGCTCCCCCTCCAACCTCTTCCCATCCCGTTTCCTGCCTTCCCCTCCTGCGTTTTTCCAGCAAGAAAGCAGCCGTTGCCACCCGCCCAGGTACGAACCCCACCAAAACAACAGCTGCTCCGATGGAGGGACCGAGGAAGGAACCGCCGAAGGGAAGGGGAAGCCCCCGGGAGAGCCGGTCCGGTTCGGATGGGTTAAGGGCGTGATGGTAAGCAGCCTTGCCAAGCGATGCCAAAGGATGCGCTGCCCGGCACACGGATGCGCAGGACGAGGCAGATGCGTGTGATGGAGCGGCTCATGCTGCTTCACCAAAAAAAGGAGAGGCTAGCAAAGGAATACGATTTGCAGAAAAGTTCGTAGGCTAATTCATGCAGAAAGATGCCAGTTTAGAAATAATTATTGCAGTTTAGGGTGGAATCCTATTCGTGTTTAGACAGAAATAATTCCTACAGCTCCCAGCCTTCCTTTACCCAAAATGCACAGTGGAAACGCACCACCCAAGTGGGTTCAAATAGCTCTGTAGCGAATGTGAGGCAGATCTGCTTCGTAAAGGAAGCCCCAGCCCTAGCGCTGGGCAGGGCCGTGAAGGGGAGAACTCTCTGGAGGGTCGCCGAAAGTCAGAGATGAGTTGAGTGCCCGGAGCAACAGCTAGGAGAAACGTGTGGCTCTCCACATATTGTTCGACTAGGTTAGGCATGAAGTGATGCCAGAATATCTAGCTCGTTTGAGCTCAAGAATTTCCCTGCCCATTTCTGATCCAACAATCAGAAAGGAACTGTGTCAGTATATTTTTGGTGGACTTCCAACTGCAAGATGCAGCCATTTTTAATACTAATCGAAGGTGCAGAATCTGCCCACTTGGAGCAGTTTGCGTCAATCACAATATTTTTCATGGTTTGCAAAAACTGGCACTGAAAAACACAAGGTTCTAGCGTGATTTGTGTAAATCAGTCCCTTTTTCACAAACGGGCACCCAAAAAACACAGCGAAATCTGGAAAGTTCTCCATCGCTGGCTTAAAGGGTCCACCAGGCCAGACGAGAGCTTCTTCGGATAGATGGGTTCCCATACTTTCCCCCAGCAGCATTGCCTAAATAGTTCAACACGCACTCACAGTCACGGTACAGTACAGTCACGGTACAGTTTAACCACTGGCATCTACGGAGCATGTGAACAGACAGACCTAGCTGCCTCCAGCTGCAAATTGCCCGCCTCGCTGGGGCTGGGGTGCTTCAGTTTTCAGGCTGCCCCACAATTTGATTCTCCAGACTGTCCCTGAAGTCCTGCAGAGCTACAATCTTGGGCACCCTTTCTGATTACTCCCTGCTTCCTAGATCCGTTGCATGCTTAACATCTGGGGTGTCATCCTGTACCTGAGGCTGCCTTGGATCACTGCCCAAGCCGGAATAGGTAAGTAGGGCTGCCGCAGGTTTTTCTGTTTTGGGAACAGCTTCTCTGGCACATGGGTGGTTGGGGTGGTTGCTGGAGGGCAGAACTGATTTTGCGCTAGGGCAGGGGGGGCGATTTGTTGCCTGCCATGTTTCGCCTCCCTGCCCCTTCCCTGCTGCAGCCCCCGCCAGCCCGTGCTGGCCCCCCAATTCAGTAAAAGACATAATTCTTAAAGGAAGCCATAGCAGTTCTGGAGGGCGGGATGGTAAGATCAGCTTGCAAAGCAGCTGCGTTGGCCCTGTGGGCCCCATGCAGCCAGAAGCGGGTCCGTTTAGAAACGTGAAGTGTTGTCGTTTTCAGGGTCTGCAGAAGGAAGTGCTCGGCAGGGGCATCTGGAGGGTGAAAGCGGCCCCCAGAGCGGCCCGTCGCTTTGCTTTGTCCCACGACCCTCGTTCGCCGTCCTCTGCTCGGGAACAGGGCTGTTAATGTTCCGGTGCAGCAGGCCCTGCTTAGCCGGCTTTTATCGAAACACACAGGGCAGGAGCACTGAGGGTGTGCTTTTAGGAACGTCAGTCCAAGTAGCAGGATGCCCTTGGAAAGCACCCGGGAGGGACTGAGAGAGCAGCATTTGTCTGTTAACTGAGGCTTTGTTGCTAAAATAAAAGGCAAACTGCAAAGTGAATTGCCTAAAATGCCTTGCAGTAGCAGAGTTCAGGCATGGAAGAGGGAGGGAGAGCATGCGGGCACGTGGAAACGAGCCATGCTGAATCGTGATGCTGCAGTTTATGGGGCGGGGGGCAGAGGAGCGCTGGAGCGGGGGGTGTCGGGCATCTTTCAGGCCAAGGGTCTAATTCCAGTTCAGAGAGGCTCACAAGGGCCACGTCCCAAGCGAGGGCATTGCTGAAGGGAAAGGGAACAAGCCAAACATGTCCACACGCTCATTGTTCATTGTTCCGTTGCAAAGTCATGCCCGACCCATCGCGACCCCACGGACAACATTCCTCCGGGTTCTCCCGTCCTCCACCATCCCTGGAGTACAACCAAGCCCACACCCACTGCCCCATCCAGCCACCCCCCCTTTGACTATACGCACTTTTGTCGGCAGGGTGATGTCTCTGCTTTTTAGTATGCTGTCTAGATTTGCCATAGCTCTCCTCCCCAGGAGCAAGCGTCTTTTAATTTCTTGGGTGCAGTCCCCATCTGCGGTGATCTTGGAGCCCAGGAAAGTAAAATCTGTCACTACCTCCATTTCTTCCCCATCTATTTGCCAGGAAGTGAGAGGACCAGATGCAACATACTTTGGTCTTAAAACTCTCACCATCAGTAACTAAGCCTTATTTCCTACCCCAGCTATTTAGGTCCTAGGCAATATCACCCCACAGAGCTCTTTTTTTCACAGCACTGACTTGGGTGATTGTCTTGATGTCTGTTACGGTGACCACCATCACGGGGCTGTCCATCTCGGCCATCTCCACCAATGGCAAAGTTAAATCAGGTAGGGCTTTGCACATAAAAATGGGCAGAATCATTTGGCGGGGGGGGGGGTGGAGTGTCCAAACTTAGGTTGCTCTGAGGACACTGCTCATGGGAAAACCACAAGGAGGGCACGAGGGCAGTGGAAGCCCCCCACCCATGTTCCTCAGCACCCAGATTCCACTCGTGCATTCCTGTTCGCTAAGAGGCCACACTAGTCATGGTGCATTTTTCACTCTGTCCAGGCAAAGGTGGTGGGTGTGCGTGTTATGCTGTGCAGAAGAACGGGACCTAGCTCAAATGCCCTGAGATTTCAAGAGACAGACAGACAGACAGACAGATGGACAGGAGCCGGCTCAAATTTCTGGGTGGGATGGGAAATTACAATGCTGTGGAGTCTGTCCTCTGTCCACACGGTGGAAAAGCAACGCAGAGCCAAAGGGCTGAAAGACGGGCAGGTTGTGAGCCAGGCCTCTCCTCTGGAGATACGGCAATGTGGCCCCACTCCTCCCCACAAGTCGACACACATGAAGGCCGAGGCTTGGCATGCTGTTTTGGCACATGGGTGCTGGGAATGCCAGTGGCAAAACTGGTAATATCCCCTGACACCCAAAGCCAGCTGCCCCCGGAGAGGAAATCTAGAGCACCTGTAAACATCCCTTAGATGACTGAACTCTGAAATGGCGATTGGCTTTCATGTCCCAGGGACAGTTCTCTTGTCTTGTCCCAGAAACGGATTGTGGAGGGGCCAGGGGAAGCCGGCATGATTACCTACCTAAGTTGTGGAAAGTCTAGATGTGGCCCTCTTGGTGCTTTTCCAGTGTGCTGATCGTATCTGGTCCTCGAAGTCACCTGCACTGCTTCCAGAAACAGCAGTTGTGGGAATGGACTCTGGAAGTCCGCGAGATGTTCTGGTGTCCTCATCAGAACAGTGAGGTCGGACTCAATGGCCTAATGCTGCCCCTCCAATTCTACCCTTCTGTGATCCCTTAGGTGGGACTTACTTCCTCATTTCAAGAAGCCTCGGGCCCGAGCTGGGTGGCTCCATTGGCCTCATCTTTGCTTTCGCCAATGCCGTGGCGGTGGCCATGCACACCGTGGGCTTTGCGGAGACCGTGCGGGACCTCCTCCAAGTAAGGACAGACGCAGACAGCAGTTCCTACTGTTCCTCCCAGCAGCTCCTAACCAATCACCTGCCGGATGTGCTGGACCGCAGGTACCCCGCTGGCATGGCCAGTTGGGCAGTCACTGAGTGACCAGGACCAGAAAGAGACCTTCCAGGCTTCAGGCGAGAGCCTTGCTCTTGTCCAGCCACATCTCTTGTAGTGAGAGATGCTGGAATTTGAACCCAGGACCATCTGGAGGCAAACTAGGGTACCCAGGAGACTTTTTAAAAAGAGAACAGCCCTCCGTTTGAAGACTTGCTGGAGGACAGTCCTCTTTTTGATGGGCTGCCAGGTCAAAGTTTGGCTTCACACTGAAGAATCCCATGATGGGGGAACATCAAGGGCCTCCAGGCGGCCCTTCAGCTCTGAGCACCCATGGGCACACACCTGGCCCCAGCCTTCCTCAGTGCAGTGAGGTGCATTGCATTTAATTGCAGGCACGATTCCTGCAATTGAATTTGATGCGTGCCCATTCGCATAGGCACATTATGCAAGCAGGTGTCCACTTCTTGGTGCTTCGGGCCCTCTTTTTCTGCAGTGCATCAGTGGATTCCATATTGCCTGCCCAGGTTCCCAGGTAGACCTGCCCACCATCCCTTACCTGAAGATGGCAGGGCCTCCCCTGGGGTTCTCCTGCATGCACAACTCTCTCTCCTCTGCTGGGCCCTCCCTCAAACCCTCCTTCCACCCTCAGTGGTGGTCCTTGAGTTGTCGACAGGCGATAGCCCAGTGTGCTCGTTTTAATCCGAGGCCTGCAAGCAGCTGACGGCTGGGTTTCTTTCCCCAAGGAATACGACTCTGCGATGGTCGATTCCACAAACGACATCCGCATCATTGGAGTCCTCACAGTAACGATCCTCCTCGGTGTTTCCTTGGCTGGAATGGAATGGGAAGCTAAGGTGGGAACCTCTTCGTTTCCACCTGTATTGTAGGAAGCCGTGTTGGCCGGGGTGGGAATGAGGGCTACGCATTCCCTTTGGGATAATCGGAGCCAACGCCAAATGTGAAGCAAAAATGGATGGGGCTGCTTCTACTTGCTCCGAAATTAGAATGAAGACACAGGGTGTGGATTCCAACCATGTGGTTTCTGCTGAGCTGGCAGCCTGGACGAAGGGGAAACTCTCTCGGTTGCTAATGTTCTGCCACGGGGGCCCACCGCTTTCTGGCCCCAAGTCTACATAGGCGCCAGGTCTTCCGGTACTGAAGGGTTGTCAGAATGAGGAAAGAGAGGGCCACTTCTAGGTCAGCCCAGAGTGCGGGACATGGAACGATGGGCTCAAGTTGCAGGATGCCTGATTCCAGCTGGACATCAGGAAGGACCGCCCGTGTGAGCAGCACAGCACTGGAGCTGACGACTCGGGGGGGGGGGTGGCGGCTTCTCCCGCACTAGAGGCAACTGGACGGCCATCTGGGAGCGGGGGTTGAACTGGGAGGCCTGCACTGAGCAGGGGCCCGGACCAGATGGCCCTCCGGCCTCTCCCAACCCTGCCATTTTATGATTCAGAATCAATACATTGGCCATTCTGTCCCTGTCAAGGCGGAGCAGGGTCTCGAGCCTGATGTGGGGGTCCTGTGGTGGGAAGCCCCTTTGGACTGTCTCTGGCTTCCCTCACAGTGGGCTTTCTTCGCCTTGGGTAGGCGCAGGTCCTCTTCTTCATAGTCATCATGATCTCCTTCATAAACTACCTGGTGGGCACGGTTATTCCAGCCAGCGCCGAGAAGCAAGCGAAAGGATTTTTCAGTTACAGAGGTAAGCTGTTGTCCCTGACCTGGGTTTCTGATCATTCACATGGCACCTTAGCCCTTCTGAAGGCCAACCCATCACTAGCGGGAGGGAAGCTTCCCCCTCCGCACCTTCGGACTACAGACTGTTCCTTGGCAAAAGCTCTTTGTTCCCCAGGGTATATCCTGTAAGCACAATCAACAAAAAAGAGTCTCTGAGCATACACAGAGTGGTTTGTTGCGCCCAGCCTAGCGACCACTTCGAAGAACCCTCCTTCAGAGTAGCCCTGGGCTGCTCCCTCTGGGAGGGCCCTTTTGAAGGCCGGCAAGCTTCTTTGCTGTATGCCGCCCCTCCCCTCCCCTCCCGCTGCATCATGGGTCGGGAGCCGAACCAGACTCAGCTGGCTCCGGGAATCCCACATTCCCTCCTAGCAGCTTCAGATCCCGGCTATTCTGAGTCTGCCTGAACACCCGGAGAGGCGTCTCGGGGTTGGCCCCTCCACCTCTTTCAGTTCGGTTTTGGCAGGCCCCCTTCCCCATCTGAAGAGCCCGAATCTCCCTCACCTTGAAGCTTTTGCCAAAACAGCTGCCTCTCTCATTCCCATTAATCACCTCTGAGCATGAAGAACTTGGAATTTGGAGTTTTCCAATGTAAACCAAAATCCCCCAAGAAATAATGATAGGAAGGGTCCAATTTTTCAGGAAAAAAAAAATGGAGCCTTTGGAGAACTCTCTGAATGCTCGAGGAAGCCCTCGGGTGTTCCACCGGAGCAGCTGCGGAGGAGCGCTCAGTCGCTCATGGAGATGGCGTGTCTTCCTTTGCAGCGGACATTTTTGCGCAGAACTTCGTTCCAAACTGGCGTGGACCTGAGGGCAGCTTCTTCGGACTGTTTTCCATCTTCTTCCCATCGGCTACTGGCATCTTGGCCGGGGCCAACATTTCAGGTGATTTAAAGGTAGGCCCGGCTGGTACTCAGAAAGGCGTGCGTGACCCCCTCTTCCCTCTGCTGAGAGAAGGTAACCCTGGCAGCCAATGTTCTGATGGAAAAGGCAACGGTGCCCCATTTTCCTCGCAGTCCTCTTGGTGGCCCCATGGACCGGGCCATTTGGGGCGCATTTTAATTTTCCTGTTTTGTAGAAAATGTATACAAACCAGGGCAGGTTTTTCAAGCCATTGGGACATCCTCCAAAAGTCACAGTTCAGGGCTTGTAAGGCATGACTCTAACCATTTTGAGACCCCATCCTAAGCTGGCCAAGAGTCATTTAAAATGTATTGAACTGCATATTCATTAATTCATTAGCCCATTTTTTTTGTTTCAAAAACTCACCTTTGTAAGGCAGCACATGAAAATGCAGTTATAATTTTAGCCAGCCACAACCGTGGCAAACCAAACCAAACCAAACCAAAACAAAGCAAAACAAAACAAAGCAAAACAAAACACAGCTTGGAACGCAACAGTTTGCCAGTCAATACTGCATTCGTGTACCAGTGAATGCATTTGACTCAAATTCTTTTGCTGTCCTGGGCAGGATCCTGCAGTGGCCATTCCTAAAGGGACCCTCATGGCTATTTTCTGGACAACAATGTCCTACCTGGTTCTTTCTGCTACCATTGGTAAGTAACAGGGAAGTTCTGATTTAATCAGTGAGGAACAATCCTTCTTTTAGGGCGCAAACTATATATATATGTTTAGACCGAAAAGCCTGCGGCTGAATGCCATTTCAGAGATTCTTCTAAGGCTGCATTCTAGCGATGGCTGGAACAAAAGGCCAAAAAGGACGGGATCGAAATTCCAACAATGCTCGGCATGTTTAATTTAGCTCTCCTTTGGCCAGTCATTGCATCACGACAGTGACAGTTCTGTAAAGACTGGGCCCACATCTTTACAAAGGACAGCATTTCAAGGTGAATACCTCTGATTTGGAATCCAAACTGGAAGTAGAGGCAGGGCCGGAATATTTGGGTGAAATGGCAAGGCCAGCAAATTTGATATAAGCCACCCCCATTTGATTGGGTGTGGGGGATACCGTACAACTGGAAGAGTTAGCAATGTAACTTGATCAGGCCACAATTCTGCTCAAGTCCTGGATACCTGAAGGGGCGCCTTCTCCCGTGTGTGCCCTCCTACCCCTTGAGATCTGAGGCGGAGATCCTTCTCCAGGAGCCCTCCTTGAAAGAGATTAGGAGGGTGGCTTCCCGGAGGAGGGCCTTCTCTGCGGTGGCGCCCCGACTGTGGACCACGCTTCCCAGAGAGGTTTGCCTGGCACCAATGCTTCCTTCCTTTCAGCGCCATGTGAACAGCTTTTTATTTTCCCATTATTTAAATTGCTAATTGTCTTAGTTGTGGTTTTTATGTTTTTTATTGGATGCTGTGCTAGTTTCTATTTTTTATCTTATTTTATTGCTGCTATTGTGAACCGCCCCAAGATGCCAGTGATGGGACGGTATACAAAAGTTTTAAACAAGCAAACAAATGAGTTAGCCGTCCCATTAACTTGATGGATGTTTCTTGCTAATGAGCAAGCCTGCTCTAACGTAATGCAAGACGATACTCAGAAGCCGGTCATCTTGATCTGCTGGGGAGGGAAAAGGGAAGAGGCTGGGGGAAGAGAGCCCGGTTTGTGGCATTTCAGAGTGAGCAAGAAGCTGGCACAAAATCTGGGAAACCATGAAATGGTTGGAATTTGGGGAGAGGGTCTGTGGCCAGCGGGGGAACTGCAGAGGGCTGGAGCTGGTCCAGGAAGCGTGTGGCTCCACACCCCGGCTCGGGGTGATTGTTTGAAGCTCAGCGCTTGCCCCGGGGAGGGAAGAAGTAGGCACTGCCCCTAAGCTGCCCCCTCCTAGGTGCGTGTGTGGTCCGGGACGCGTCTGGCAACGTGAACGACACCATCCCATTTGGAACGGCGGGCTGTGAGGGACCGGCCTGCAGCTACGGCTGGAACTTCTCCGCGTGCGCCCAGAGCCGCAGCTGCCACTACGGGCTCATCAACCACTACCAGGTCGCAGCCTGATCCTTCTGGGGTGTCACCACTCTGGTGCTCTCGCAAGCCCTGTGGGGACAGAGCTGGTTTCTGTGGGAAGAGTGGGGGAAGGCCAGCCCCAGAGGCTTGGGGGCTTCCGTGGGCCAAGGGCTGTTTGCACCTTCTGGGGGTCATTCGTAAGGAAACGGTCCCCCATCCAGTAAATGAGCGGCATCTAGCCCTTCCCATGGGGAAGAGGGAAGTGCTGGAACTCCGGGGGCTGCTGTCCAGGCAACCTTGGCCTCCCTTCTCCTGAATCTGGCACCGGTGGGGGTCTCTGTGCACCTCCATGCGCACTGCAGAGGTGACTCACCTGCCCTTCGCTTTCCCCCCAGAGCATGAGCATGGTGTCAGGCTTCGCACCCCTCATCACGGCAGGGATTTTCGGGGCCACACTCTCCTCGGCCCTGGCCTGCCTCGTCTCAGCGCCCAAAGTCTTTCAGGTGAGGCCGCCATGAGGGAAACAGCTCTTCCGGCTTCCCGGGAAAAGCCCCTCCTGTCTCACCACATTGCAGCCTGACTGCACCGTTGCCTGCAAAGCGCTGGCCACGATCCGTCTGCTGTGGGAAGCGGGATGCTCCGAAGCCCTGCCTCACGCAGCTTTGCGGGTGGCGAACTGGTGGCTTTGCACAGGTCTCCAACACCACCAGCACCTCACCTGCCTGACCTTTATTTTATCCCTTCAGGCTCATTTATTATCATTGTTTTTAAACCAGGAGGACGCCAGGCTGACGGGCAAATTGCTGCCCTTCAGCACTGCCTTTACTCGGGTTCAAAACAGCGTCTGTGTTTTGGGGTGCTGACCCATCTCTGCTTTTGGCGTAGGTCCATGGGCAAGAGACTGCACCCCTTCGAGTGACCATTCATCCCCGTCCGGATCACAAATGGGCTGTGGGTGTGAGCTGGAAGGGCATCTGCTAAAATTCGGTTTTGCTGCAATGGTGCACGTGACTCGGGGCCTTGTAATGAGTCGCTGCTCTCTCCTCTCCCACAGTGCCTTTGCAAGGATCAGCTGTACCCCGCCATCGGCTTTTTCGGGAAGGGGTATGGGAAAAACAACGAACCCATCCGGGGTTACATCCTGACATACTTTATTGCCATTGGCTTCATTCTGATCGGTAAGCGGGCCAGAGGGTATGAGGCACCCAGAAGGGTCGGATGGGACTTGTGCGCGGTGAGCACTCTGGGAGCAGGGGTACTTGAGTCCCGCGTTCGACCCCTCGGCTCATGCTGTCCACAACCCACTGGCTTTGGAGCGATGTGGGCAGCATGTTCATGCTAACCACCTGCCCCTCTCTTTCTGCCCACCTCGCAGCGGAGTTGAATGCTATCGCACCCATCATCTCCAATTTCTTCCTGTGCTCCTATGCGCTCATCAACTTCAGCTGTTTCCACGCCTCCATTACAAACTCACCAGGTGAGCCTCAAGGTGATGGGAGGGGGCGTCACGTGGAGGGGGGCCGTGAGCCGTTCTTCCCTTCCGTGGAGGGCAGGATGCGTTCCACTCAAGGACCGGGCTTCAGGTTGGGTGCCAGGAAGTGCCTTCCAATGGTTAGGACGCCTCAGATGTGGAATGGGCTTCCATGGGAGGCGGCGGAAGCCTCATCCGTGAGGGTGTTCAAGGAAAGACTGGACAGCTGCATGTTGGGGGTTGTATGAATTGTGTTGTAAGCCGCCCCGAGGCTTTGGCAAGGGGCGGCATAGAAATGTTATAATGATGATGATGATGATGATGATGATGATGATGAGTGGAGCTGGCTGGAGCCGGGGGTCAGACTAGATGGCCTGGGAGACCCCTTCTGCCTCGCTCTGTTTCTTTGTTTCTAAACTCACTCTATATGATAGAGGATTACCACTGGTTTCAGGTGGTATGTGGTCTATGCAGAGGCAAGCTAGCTGAGCTGCCGATTTGATACAGGGGGTTGTTATTCCCCTTGGGCCCACCGGACACCCTCAGATCATTCTACAAATTCAACCCAGATTGTCGGTGGCCTCCTGCATATTCAGGATTTTATTTGTAGGAACTCAGGAATCCAGCTGGGCTTTGCACAAGTCGAGCAAAGCTGCACTAAATTCCACAGGCAGGCTGTGTTGCAAAACGGGGCTTTGGGGCCACGTTTCCATTCCTGCTCAGCGCTTTTTTCGGCAGCTGCTCAGGCGCCCTGTGGCGTGTGCAGAGCTTCTGATAGGGCTGCCGGTGCATCACAACAGAACGCCAACCAATTAGGGATCCTAGTGCAAGTGTGATGTCATGCCACAACAATTGGGGCGTTGTGCCCACATCACAAATGACAACCGTAGCTCGCTGGACATGAGGACGAGGCTTCCTCTTTTGCACTTCAACAGCAGAGGAGAGGAATGTGACGGACACCCGGCCTCTGGCAGTCACGGGCACTGGGGGCTGCTGAATCAGGTGGGCCACATACTACAGTCCTGGCAGCTCCCCGCTGGGCACCCGACAGGTCAAAGCGGCAGCCCCTTCACTCACGTTGCAAACAGGCCTGAAACCCTAAAGGGCTGTTGCAACTTATCCCTATTCTTCACCCAGCCTTGGCACACCGGGAAACAGCTTGCCCACTTCCTCAGTGTAAACTGAATTGTGTCACTAAATCAAAATAATGTAGCAAAATCAAAGCAGGATTGTCATAAATGGCAGATGTCTTGTGCATCAAGACATTTACTTTGTGCTGGTATTCTATTCTAGGCCACATAGCAGCTGTTTAGGAGTTTTGGGGGTTTTTTGTAGTGAGTTTTTTTTTAATTTTAAACTAACACCAAAAACATCAATAATCAAATATATCTGACGTACTGGGTCAGCCCCACACTCATATTTTTTAACATTCCATAGTCATATTTAAATCCATTTATGATAGCTTAAAAACATATTTAAATCTAAGCCAGGTCTCGTTTCTCTAGCCAGTAATAAAAAGAGTCCCAAGTTTGATAGAAGTCAGTATCTTCCTTCTCCTTCAATGACAAAGTCAATCTATCCATTTCTGCACAGTCCAGGATCTTTTTTAGGATCAGTTTGTCGGTGGGTGGTTCTTCACTTTTCCAGTGTTGAGCAAATGCAATCCTCGCTGCAGTGATTACATGCAAAATCAAATACTTTTCTTGTTTACTAATGTCTTCCGGTATAATGCCTAATAAAAAAACTTCAGGTTTAAAAGCTAAGGATTTTTGTAACATTTCCTCGAGCCATTTATGTATTTTAATCCAATACTTTTTTTACATCACAAGTCCACCACATATGATAAAAAGTACCCAATTTATGTTTAGATTTCCAACATCCATTTGACATATTTGGAAACATTTTAGCTAATCCATTTGGCAACAGATACCATCTATAAAGCATTTTATACAAGTTTTCTTTATATGAAGTTGCTAATGTTACCTTAATATTTCTCTCCCACAGCTTTTGCCACTTTTCTAATTCAATATTATAACCAAAATTTTGTGCCCAAGTTATCATAGTTTCCTTAACCAGTTCATCTTCCATTTCCCTGTCAAGTAAAAAATCATATAATCTTTTAATCATTTTCTCACCTGATTTGAGCATCACTTGATCAAACACTGTTAATTCCTTATAAAAACCCCACGCTTTACAATCTTTAGCATATCTCGATTGCATCTGCACCTTATGCCACCAGGAGATATTAGATCCCTGTTCTTGTGTTTCTTGATCTAATTTCAGGCCTCCATCCTTATCCAAAATATCATCATATCTTATAATCCCTTCAAAATTCAATGCATTTGGATACACAAAATCTTCCATAGGTGAAAGCCATCTTGGTAGTTTATTATACAATTTTAACTTTAATTTTTCCCACACCGACATTAATGATTTTCTAATATAGTGACTTAAAAAAGAGACATGTGACTTAGCCTTCTCATACCACATATAAGCGTGCCAGCCCATTTGCAAATCATGTCTTTCTGCAGCTGTTTAGGAGTTTTGTAGTATGTTGTTGTTCATTACATTTGTATACTGCCCGTAGCCAAAGCTGTCTGGGCAGTTTACAACAAGGCAGTTAAAAACAATAAAATATAGTAGATAAAAATTATGATCAAGCATTAAAATTAATTTAAAATAGCATAAAGCAATAAAAAGACAATTAAAAGGCCCAGCTAAAAGGCACCTGGCTAATTGTGTCAGGCCCCTGAATGACCAGGGAGGTCTTTAAAGGCCTCCACAAAGAGTCCCATCTTGATCCAGCCTCGAAAGGATGGCAAATTTGGCACCAGGCAGGCCACAGCAGGGAGGTTATTCCAAAGACAGGGGCCACCACTGAAAAGGCCCTCCCTCTAAGAGGGGTTGGCACTTGGAGGAAGGCCCTAGAGGGTGAGCAAATTCTCCAGATGGATAGGGATTGGAAGAGGTGCTCCAACAGGTATTTATTTATTTATTTATTTATTTAAAACTTTTTTAGACCGTCCCTTACTGTATTCTCAGGACAGTCTAACAATAAGACAAAATAAAATAAAACACAGCATCCTAATCAATTTCTTAACCAGTCAGCAATAAAACCCGTATTAAAAATTGGGAAAAATGAAAAGGTTTTAGCCTGGCGCCAAAAAGAATAAAGTGACGGTGCCAGGTGAACCTCTCAGGAGACCGAATTCCACAACTGGGGTGCCACCGCAGAGAAGGCTCTTCCCCGGGTAGTCACCCTCCTAATCTTCTTCAGGGAGGGCAGTTGGAGAAGGGCGTCTGCCCCAGATCTTGCGGGGTGGGCAGGCATGTACGGAAGGAGACACTCCTTCAAGTCACCAGGCCCTAAGTATTGTGGTCTCAAGCTGCAAAGTGATCTCAGTGATACAGAAATAGTTCCCGTATTTCCCCCAAAGCAATGCGAGAATCAGAGCAACTGATTCGCATGCTTGTCCTAAAACTGGGTTGGACGATCGACAAGGAAAGCACATCCGTGCACTGCTGATAGAGGCATAAGAAGAGCCACGCGGGGCCTGCCGGAGGATTTGCCTAGTTCAGCGCTCGACCAGCCAGGCGCCCGCCGGAGAGTTTGGGATGCTCCGGAGCACCACATAAAAGCACCGCATAAGCAACAATGGCCGGTGACCGCTTGTCCCTTGGTCCACACAGGGTGGAGACCCTCGTTCAGGTACTACAGCAAGTGGGCAGCTCTGCTTGGCGCCACCATCTCCGTGGTCATCATGTTCCTGCTGACCTGGTGGGCTGCCCTCATCGCCATCGGGATCGTGGTCTTCTTGCTGGGATACGTCCTGTACAAGAAGCCGGGTAGGTGCCTCCTTCAGCCACCCAGATGGTGGGGGTGGAGGTATGGAGAGACGCTCCCCCTCCAGCGAAGAATGGGGCTGGTGCAGGAATCCCAAGGATCGGCAGAGACCCTCACTGGTCCGGTGTGGCACGAAAAGCCCTTCCCCCCAGGACTGAGCTGCGTCTTGGAGAAGCCGCCACGCAGGCCACGTCTCCGTCACACACTGCAGCAGCGAGCAGGGCTGCAGGCAAAGGTGGGAGAGGCTCGCGAACCACGCTCCTCAGGAACCTCTGCGGCCATGTCTAGTACCCCGTATGTCTCCTCAGCAGGAGCGGTGTGCACACGGGGCCACAGAAGCAGGCCTTCTCAGAATGGTGGGATTGGAAGGGGCTGAAAGGCCTCAGGTCCCACCTCCCGCTGTTGCTCCCCACAAGTAGGAACCGTGCCTGCATGTGTATTCAGGAGCAAGCAGGGCTGCATCACTCAGCAGGATGCAGAGAGAGTATCGAGCCTGTTTGTGCCTACCCAAAAGTAAGCGTGAGCGGATATCTGCTCAGAATGGAAAGGGAGGCGCTTCTGCATGCTCAGAAAGAAGCAGGACCAAATCAGCAGACTATTCTGCTGGAAAAAGCAAGCAGGAAAGGTAAGCAGGAAAAGGCAGGACTGTGGTGCTGGAGGAGACTCCCGAGAGTCCCTTGGATCGCAAGGCGATCAAACCGGTCAGTCCTAGAGGAGATCAACCCTGACTGCTCTTGAGAAGGCCAGATCCTGAAGATGAAACTCAGATACTTTGGCCACCTACTGAGAAGGAAGGACTCCCTGGAGAAGAGCCTGATGCTGGGAATGATTGATGGCAAAAGGAGAAGGGGACGGCCGAGGATGAGGCGGCTGGATGGGGTCACTGGGGTGGTGGGTGTGGGCTTGGGTGGGCTCCGGGGATGGTGGAGGACAGGAATGCCTGGAGGAATGCTGTCCGTGGGGTTGCAGAGTCCGGCACAACTTTGAGAATGAACAACAAATTACTCAGCACCGCAGGTGCCTGCACCTCTTTCTTTTGCTCCTTAGGGGAAAATGCTTAACTCTGACCAGCTGCTGGCTATTGGAAGGATTAAAGTATGGTAAATAAAGAAATAAATATGCATCTCAGATAAGTGATAGCAGCTTTCCTTCCTGTGGTCGAGAGGGCAAGCGAGAGGGCAAGCGGAGGAATAAGCTGCCCAGCCCTGGGGACGTGATGGGGAAAAGGTGCTTTCTAGAGGAAGGTTTTGATGAAGCAACGCTTCCATCAACTGGGAATCCCCATTTCATCTTCCAAAGAGGGATCTTGGGGCACTTTGATGCTTTATTTTTATTTGCGTCACCTGGCTTTGAAGTGTTCTCATGGACACGTGGAGCTGAGGAGCTGGGAAGTGCATGCTCTTTTGGAACTGGGCGTCCGCGTCATTTCTTTGAAGGCGAACTGTGAGCATCCACACAGTCCCACAGTTAATGCAACTGCAGCCACCAGCTGCAAAATGACCGCTCTGTTGGCTGTTTCTCTCCAGAGGTGAACTGGGGGTCGTCTGTACAAGCCAGCTCCTACAACATGGCCCTGAACTATTCCGTGGGACTCAATGAGGTGGATGAGCACATTAAAAATTACAGGTAAGGAAGCATGGGGTGTTTTGGAGCAGGACTGAAGCAGGGGCCCTGCTTGCCTGCGGGTTGCAGACACTTGATGCCCCGAGCAAAACACATGCTAGCTGAACTGTGGCAGTCCCACCTTTTCAGAAAACACGTGAGGAGAACGGAGAATTACGTGTGCAGGTTCCTAGATTGACGTACAGTGGTCCCTCAGCTCACGAACGCCTCAGTTCATGACCAAAGCGGGTCGCGAACAGAAATTTCATAAAAATGTTGACTCAGGTCGCGAACTCCACATCGAGTGGCAACCGCGATCGGGGCCATCTCCCCACTGCCCCAAGTGGGAGACGGCCACGATCGCGGGCGCGCTCGTGCAGGGAAGGCAGGTGCGATCGCGGCTGTGCTCAGGGAGCGGGGTGGGGAGATGGCTGGAATGGTGCCTGTCTTTCCTGCAGCAGCGCAACCATGATCTCGGCCATCTCCCCGCCAGCAGGTTCGCACCTCCCCCCCCCAA